ATAGGCAACAAAAAAATTTAAGAGCTAGAATATAAATATTTATGTAAATTCTAGACAAGAAAAAATAACGGACATAAGGGGGAAAATCAACTATATCAAATATGAATACAAAGATAAGTGCTTTGGGCGACTATCACCATAGACTTCCAAAAATTCTCATAATTTTAATTTCACAACATATATGGTACCACGAGTTTTTTGGACCGGACCAAATAGAGTTTGGGTCATTGTACTCTTACCACTAATCATATTATTTAATTGAGGTGTCATCCACAATGCATTATGAGCCCCATCTTTAGGCCAAAATGCATTTTAAAATAGTATTTTGTTGAAGAGTGTAGTTAAAAAATAAGAAAAAAAATTTGGATTTGCGTGTAAAATTATTTTATGGAAGAATGTGCAGTTGAAAATGAATTTTGAAAAAATGAGGGCCAAACATAGGCATAGAAGTTCAAAATTTGAAACGACTATAAAGGATTGTCGACACATCATATTTTTAGTAGAAGATCAAATTTGACCTACACATATAAGTAATGTCTAAGATGCCACTAAATAAACAATTTTGAGGCCTTTGTTTAAATGAATAGATTAGGCAAGATATGTTTGATTGATGACAATAATAATTTCAAATTAATATCATTAACAATTTTTCATGAAAAGGAAATGGATTCTTTGCCACCATAATTTGTTGTCTGACCCACAAAACAAAACGCCAACGTTGTCATCCTTAAAGCCGGGGCATATTCACCAAATATTGTACAAATAAAGTTAGCGGCTGAAAACAAAAGAACCCAAGAGCGAGAGCACAAGGCAAAGGGAATTCTTTTTTTCTTTTATGTTTCTTTTGTCGGCATTCGTAATGAAAGCAATTCTTTTTCTGGCAGTTTAAAGGAGGGTTCATCTGCACTTAGCCGAGAAAGTGCTCTTTTTTGTCTTTTAGCTTTTCTGTTGTGGAAAATTGGCATTTTTCTTGAAAGAAACACAAAATATACATAGAAAAAAGAGGAAGAATAGAAGGGGCAGACATGGAGATGATGTATTATCAGCAGCTGGGGAAGCGTTCTTATTTGGATTCTTTGAAGGTTCTTGAGGCTGATATACAGTATGCAAATGCTCTGTAAGCTTATTTTTTCCTGGGATTTTTGTAACTTTGTTTACCAGTTCATTGTGAGTCATTGGCTTCATTATAATTTGTTTTTGTGTTTAATCCATGTTCCCTTTTAACATAATGGCTCGTTTGGGATCACTAATTTTGAAACTTCGAGTGCGGGTTTCAGCTTTAGAACTTTTTCTTTAATTGCACGTGTTTTTATATATTAATTAGTATTTTGATATGTACGTGGATGTATTAAACATATGTTGGCTACATTAGTTTCTATTTAGAGTGATGATCATCATTGCAACTAATGCTCAATTAAGGGGAATATCATAGCAGAGCTAATTCATTTGGGTATTTTTCAATGCCTTCTTTTCATAGGGGTTATTTAGTGATTTATGGAGACGAATGAGATTGCATTTAATCAAGCATAAATTTGATCATTTTCTAATCATTCCGAGTTAGCAGACTCAATCTAAGTCTGTTTCCTTGGGCTGTTCAAGAATGAGGAAATATTCAACAGTATAGTATATCCCTTGATTTGAATGGAAGCTGGTTTTAAAAGGGAATGTCTAGGGTTGGGCAAGAGCCTCTTTCCTTTATTTTCCCTTCTCATCCGAGTTATTTCACAAAAACATGTATCGACTAGAAAATTACTTTTTGGGAGTTTGGTGGATTGATTCCTGGGATTGTAGTATAAGAGATTCATTTATGTGATGATAATAGTTAGTAAAAACATGAACATTTTTGGTTGCTGTTGGCATTGAATTTTATGAATTTATGTGTATTTATGTGTCATTCTATGTTGTCACTATATTTGTTGGTATGGATTATTATTGGCTTTCTGAAATAGTTTTTGTTGACTTCTCATTTGTAGTGCTGCTGCAATTCCCAATGCTAAGGGCGGTGTAGGCCTTCAAATGAAATTGGTCTACAATCATTTGACGTCTCTTTTTCTGTTTCTACTCCCATTGGTGGATTGTTCCTGCACATGTATTTTCCCAAGATATCTGAATCTTTTTCACATACTTGTTTACAAGGTACAATACATCTGTCCTATTATACCTTAATATGCATTATACGGAATACTATAAACAATCCTTCATGTACTTGCTACAAAAAGAAGCCACAATGACTTAAATTCTAGTCGTGTTTCTTGGAACCAAATAATATATGTTCCAACTTTTTCTCCCCCTACCCACCCCCAAGTTTTGACTCAAACCTTCTATTTTATATTTTTTTTTATCTTCTTCACAAAAATGCTTAATCTTGTGAAGTTCTGAGCATTCTTCTCTGTGCATCCCTTCTCTTCCATGGACATTCACTGTCTGTCCCTAACTCATCTCCTGAAGAACTCATTGGATTGGGTGGGAAATAGATATTAGATGTTGACTTCATTGTTTGACTAGAGTCATTGAGTTTGATGTCAAGATTGAAACTTGTGATTTTTCACCTTTGTACTTTGTAAACCTAGAAATTTGATTCTTGAGAAGGAGATTTCCTTTTTAATCACTAGATTCGAAGTACATGGGTGTAGAAGATGGTGATATAGTTGACAAATAAAGGCATGAATGGGGAGTTGGCTGCCATTAGGAATTTTCCACATGTTCCATTACTCAAACATTGAAAAGACAAATGAGCATCAGGTGGTGATGGTTTTTATTAACTTGCTAGAGTGAGCTTTAGACTGTTAGGAACATAAAGAGCCGGTGTGAGAACAAGTGCTGTTGGTTTGCTCTATGAATCCCATGATAGTTATTTAAACGGAAAAAATCAAGATTAATCATCAGTTGGTTTTTTTGTTAGTTCTTTCCTTTTTTATCTAATATCAAGTGATGAATGATAATGCAATATATTTGATTTAGTCATATCCTATTAACAGGTTTATACAGATGGGAGACCAAAATTATCAACTCATGGAAGAAAAGCTACAATTAGAGATTTTTATGGTTCGTCAGTTTGTCTGCTCTTTTGAACATTACGAAAAGAGACATCTTTTATGTCTAAATAGAGCAATTATTCTTACTTGCTCCTTGAAAAACAAAATTGCAGCCGTTATATTGCCATCACTGCAAAGAATCCATAATGACTTCGTAGAGATCAATAGTAGAAATAATGATAATCATGGTCTAAAAAGCATTATCAAGAAGAGACTAGAAGGGGGCAGTGGGTTTACCAACATAGAAACAGAGAGAGATGATGAATGTGGGATATGCTTAGAGCCTTGCACCAAAATCGTCTTGCCTAATTGCTGCCATGCAATGTGCATAAACTGCTACCATGACTGGTAACTAACACTATCTCTTTTTTCCTTCATGTCTCTACTGCTAAGTATAACTTATGAAGAAGAAGACCGTATCTTTCTCTTTTCCCTATATTCTTTTTAACTTTCAGGAATGCAAGATCCGAGTCGTGCCCTTTTTGCCGTGGTACCATAAGGAGAGTCAAGTCGAGGGACTTGTGGGTGCTTACATGCAATGATGATGTTGTTGACCCCGACACTGTATCTAGAGAGGATTTGCAGCGATTCTACCATTATATCAGAAACCTGCCCAAAGATTCTCCTGATGCCTTGTTCTTAATGTACTATGAATACTTAATATGAAATAAACTAAATGAGAAAAATGTTATATTATAAATGTAGAAGAAGCTGACCTTGAAATGTAAATGGAGTCTGGTATAAAAAAATTACTGCCGCTTTTGTCCATGCGATGTTCTATATGACACCTCTGAATTGTACAAAGAAAATAATGAATTCTCAAACTTTGTGTTCCATGCATGGACACAATTATTGGTGATATAATATCATTTACACATTTGAGTTTGGGTTCTGTTGTTTCCTTTTTTTTTTTTTCATTGGAAACTCGTACAAACCTTTTCCGAATAAAGTATTCTGGCTATATCTGGTAGATACCTATTTAGTTCCTGTCCTAAAAGAGAAGTGATGAAACTGCTTATTTTCAGTTGAAATATGTTATTATTTCTCGCTCTCTTGATGAATCCATTCAAAGCAGCAAAGAAGTACAGGGATGTGGTGTGCATGCAGTTCTACGTGCTTTTTATGTTTTTGATCAGCTCATCAAATGATGGTCTGCAGAATCCCTGATTGAGGAAGAGATCAGTCAGAAGTTTATACATAGCTTCCGTGAGATGGATTCCGTCCCAGCTGATGTATTTGCTTGGGTCCTTGCAGACAGTTGCGCCGGTGGAGCCACATAATGTGTGGTGGTTGAAGTTCAGATGCGTTCCACCAGATCCACAGCATGCTTTGAAGGTTCTTCAATCTGGTACTTTTTCGGATTTGTTAAAATTGTCAGGTAGGCATTCCAGTAATCCGCATACAAGATTGTACAATTTGGGTTCATTTTCCTGATATTTTCCAAATTACTTTGAAGGATTTGGTTGTGGATCATTACTGCAGAGTTTACAGCTGCAGCACAGCCCATTTTATTAAGGGTTTTAAGTGGACACAGGTAGATGTCTACTGGGAGGCACCCCGCAGGTGGTAGTCCAGCCTTGAACCACAATATACTTTGCTCCAGCAGCCAACAATGTCTATTCACATAATGAAAGACTATATTAACAATGTTTAATGTTTCATCTTATATGAGAAGTGCCTGTTTGGCATGGATTTTCAAAGCTGCTTCTAAAACTAGGAAGTTCATTTTGGCCTTGTTTGGATAATTTTCTTGAAGTGGAAGTGTTTTGTTCGGTTAGAAGAGCTTTTAGAGAAAAAGCTTGCTCAATATAACTTTCTCAAAAAGCTCTTATACAAGAAGCAGAAGCATAGGTTGTCCCTAATAGGCCCTAAATCAACCTTATTGTAACCAGTTTTTTGTTGAAGTTTTAGATTACATACCTTGAGAAGTTTGCAAACTGTTCGAACCGAAATCTACGAGAGCCATTAAAGAGAAACAGATGACCCGATGGAACGAGTATGGTCGTTGATTCCCATTTCTCCAATCCAGAAAAGTGAGTTCTGCATCTGAGCTTTACAGGAAGCTCTATTTTTGCCTTTGCATCCTGCCTTTATCTGAAAATTATTGAACCAAGCTATTTGAGTTTGAAAACTCCCGGGCAATCCTTTCCAAAATATGGTGCTGAGATTTTTTCCAAAAAAATAATCACTAGGAAGAGACGTTGATCCTGCTACGGCAAAGTTGACTGCGACCGAGAAATTTACAGAAGGGTCTTTATAAGGCGCTGGGGTTGCTAGAGAAAGTGCATCGCAAAGAAAATCAACCACGAGATTACCATTAGACAATCGACTCATTAGATTTCCTCCTAGTGTTCCGAGTGCTAGTGATTTCAACTGCTCTAACGGGATTTTTTGGCATCGACCGAGGTGTTGAAGCCACCGAGAAACTTAGCATTGCCTGTATCCGTGTACGAGTCTCCAAAAAAGCATAGACCTGGGAGAAACTTCCCTTGAAATCAACAGGCAAATTCTTGCCATGTGCAGACGGGGACAAGAAAAGGGAGGACAAGAAAGTAAGTGTCAAAGAGTGATGAATTGATTTAGTCATTTTGTGCAAGTGTTTTGAAGATTATATGCAGAGCCCTTTATCCATATTTTTTCTTGTTTATGCACAGAGGTCATCCAAAATCCTAGGAAAAATCATAGGTTGTTATTGTTCAAGGTGAATGTTACCAATAACCAAGCTATCTATATGCTGAATACCTGAGGCTCTCACTTAAATAGAATTTTATTTATTTATTTCATTTGTTGAGAAAATACAAGTCAAAAAACTCACCAAATGTACATTATTCATATATGTAAAATTTTAGGTTTTTTAGTGTCTAGGAAAAAATAGGCATCTACTTGTGCGCAAGAACAAGATTCTAAAGTCAAGATAGACCGGCCCAAACCAAAATGGGCAACAAGCCCGTCTAAGAATGGGCCACTGGCATTATATGCCTGAGGAAATTACATAAATCTAGTGGTTTGAAAATTGGAATTCAAAAATCAGGGACCAATTTTTATTATTAAAAAATCAAGTAGTATAAAAAAGCCCTAACCCTAATTTTTCACTTACTCCCCCCCTCTCCCTCTTCTCTCGCCCTCTCTCTCCCCTCCCCCCTCTCTCTCTTCTCTCTCTTCCTCTCCCTCTCCCTCCCCCTCCCCTCCTCTATATGAATGGACTGTGATGCTGCTGTAATGGAAATAGACCGGAGCCTCTTCACGTGGAGGCCGAGCAGCTGGCTTTGCGGCGGTAGCGGCGGAGCTCGAATCGTCTCGAGTTGGGGGCGGTTGCGCGACGTGGCAGAAGCTTCAACCACCCTCAATCCATTTTCGTGGACCAGAATGAGCTCGAATGGTTGCGAGTTGCGATGGTATTTGGTGGTGTCTCTTCGTTGGTGGCGGTGTATGTAAGATTTTAGATGAAGATGGATGGTGGCTGAAATTTTTGAGGCGGTGGTGGTTTTTTCTGCAGGAACTTGAGGTGGCGCAATGGTTTTGTTGGACTGATGGTGACTAAAATTTTTGTTGATGGTGGCGGCAGAGGTGGTGGATCTGACAGTTTGAGTATTTTTGTTGAATTTGGCAGT